TTTATTTATTTGGTGTTCTGTCTGACGACAGGTCCATATGACCAGGATCCTTCCATCCTTTTCTCGGACTGGGATCTGTTCATATACGTTCTTGGCAGATGATCCAGCAGTGGTTTGCCATTGCCTTCTTCTGTGTGTGTGAATGGAGTAATTGTTGGGATGCCACGGAGGAAAACTCCGTGTTGCCTAGACCACGGCCTTGCCCAACACAAGTTATAAATTCGGGCACCGCCTAGAATCGAACCCGAGACCCCAGGATTACAAGGCCAGCGTTCTAACCGCTAGACCACCGTCGCGGTTGATGACTGATATAGAAAACTAAAACAAGAAATGCTTACGACTGGCATCGCCGTCAGTTGCTTCCATGAATATCAGCTCCCTCTTCTCAACCGTATTTTCTAACACATTAATTGGTGCGCTGTAGTCGCCAATGAAATGAGGGCTTTCGTCATTCTCGTCATTTATGTAAATCGTGATCTGAAAAGACAGGAACCACATCTCACTTTGATTTATGCTTTTCTGTTGTATTATTAGCTAAGTTATTTTAGTTAAGTTACTCAGGGAATTACTTGATAAGTAAGTTTCGTAAAGATAATTTAATGCATATAGGCTATAAAATGTTTTACTGAATTTGTTGTTACTCTGATATTTGGGTTGGACATTGGCCGCGGTATAATTGTCTGACTACGCGGGGTCAGTTTGCGCAGGCCCGTGATTTTCTACATCACGCGCCCCACAGTCAGCTTGACCCGATCACCGTGTTTTTAGTTGTTTCAGAACGCCTTTTACAGAAACTCCTGATCGCAAGACACTAGTATCTCATACAAACACGACTTAATTCAGTTTCTTATCTTAAGTCACGTAATCTCCCAACTCGGGTCTCTCAAGTCTTCCGGTTCGTAATTCTGACGTAAGGAATCCTTTCTACTCAACACGCGTCACAAAAATGTACCTCAGAGGTGAAGGTGGACAGACAGACAGACACATCGACTAGCAGTATCCACATGGGTGCAAACAACCCACCCCTCTGTGAGCCAACCCCTAATAACACTTCTTTACTCAGATAATTTCAATAGAAGTGTTTACAGGTGATTTTCAAGTGACATTCGGTTACACGAGGTGCGATCGGAAAGTTTTAAGACTGTGTCAATAGAGGGCGAACCGGATATAATACGAGCTTCTGCCGCTAGGGGGTGCGGCCTATATTCATAGTGAATCAGTGTGCCAGCCGGCATCATCGAATTAGCATTTGTTTCTTAGTTACGGGCGTTTTGGTAGTGCATTACACCGACCCTCCTGCGATTTCGGAATGGCGTGTGCATCAAATTTTGCCAAAGACATGTTCTAATGTTACCTCTGCTTTTATTCTTCAGTATAATATTAAAATTGAACATACACACCTAAATGTGCCACGAAAAAAAATTGCAATGACTGGAACTGATTGAACATTGACGCTTTGAAACTTACTGACTTCTGTTCTGAATTCTCTCCGTCGGTTGCGATCACGACGTAACTTATTTCCGTGATCTCTTCGAAGTCGATCTTGTCTTTGCCAGTTCGAAGTTCGCCTGATATGGCGTTAATCTTCACGTATTCCTTTTCATAGAGGTCATTCCTGAAACATTACAAAGTCCATCTTGAATTTTGGCAAAGCCGATTAAACTAACTTAGCTTAAAGACAAATCTTACGCGTTAGATGAATTCATTAATTGAAATTAAAATTCAGAAAATTCCTTCATCCTTAAGATCCATTTTATATGCATGTTAAAACTATTTTGCAGTCTTTTTATAAGCACGATATAATTTGTTATATTATATTACGTTATGGTAAATACGAGGCGCGTCCCAAAAGTAAGTTTCCCACTCGTCCCACTGCTAGCAAACCTTATATTGCGCGAAGCGACTGTGCGTACGTGATAGAGCAATGACGTAGCATGGCTCATGCACTAACGGCACTTCCCGCGTTCTCACAGTAGCATCGTTGCAGCTGTTGAAGATGGAGGTTCTTATTCCAGCTCCCGCCGACTGTGAAGTGCGGTCAGTGATAACGCTAGGCCGCACACGGCTCGACGGACAGCAAGTCTCCTGCAGGAGTTCAGCTGGGAGGTGTTTAATCTTCCACCCTACAGCCCGGACCTCGCTCCCAGTGATTTCCATCTTTTCCTACACCTCAAGAAATTCCTGTCCGGTCAGCGTCAGCGTTTTGAGAATGACAGAGAGGCGGAGATGGTTGTCACACAGTGGTTCCAATCCCAGGCGGCAGACTTCTACGACACAGGTATTCAAAAGTTGGTCCCACGGTATGACCAATGTCTCAATTCCGGTGGCGAATATGTTGAAAAATAGCTGGACACTTGCTGTATCTGTTGCAATAAATATTTCCGTGAAATTGTGTTTTGTTTCTGTAAACGGCCCCAGGGAAACTTACTTTAAGGACGAGCCTCGTATTATCGTTTGGTTTTCTTTGCGTTGGTTCAGTACATTTTATCGTGTGATGCTATATGTAGGACTTAACTTTGGGTTCTTTAGAGCGAATTTATAACAGTTTTGACATTCCGCCTTTAGATCACGTGATTATTATATTGTGGGGAATTCAAGTCTTGACAGACGCACGAGAATGTAAACGAAAAGGGTTGTTAAAAGATGCCACAGTAATTTAAACGCGTCTCGTGTGTTCTGTTGCTGATTACGACAGCAAATCTCATAAAGTCAGCTATTCTGTTACAGAGATGAAGCATTTGCACTCACAAGAGTGTGAAAAGTCGTCTCTTATCCGTTCAATTTTTCATGTTTTTTCAACTCGTGGATACAAGTCAACACAGGAATATTTTGTGTGGACTGTGGTAAACCGGGTTGTGATGTCTTGGACTACAGCGGGTCTCATAAACGAAATATATATCGATATACGAGGTGCGATCGAAAGGTTTCCAGACTGCGCCTATAAAAACCCGTACACTTATCTCAGGTATTAAATTCATCCATCACCCTCGAAGTAGTTCCCCTGGGAGTGAACACAACGATCCCAGCGCCGCTGCCAAGCAATGGAAGCATCCCTGGAAATCTTTCTTTGTCAGCCGGTCAAGCCCCATCTGCGATTCTGCCTGAATCTCATCTATCGTCTCAAATCTCCTTCCCTTTAGCTGAATTGTCATCTTTGGGAAGAGGAAGAAG